TATCTTATTTACACGACAGCATGTCATCTCTACATAGTTGCACATTTACAGTTCTCCTATACTCTCTGTATCGTGCATGGCGTTCCGCCCTGATGCGCACACACACACACAGACACATGCGTGCACACACAGGTGAGTACACTCCCACCAGCAGACAGAGAGCGTGCGTCGGAAAAAAAGTCACATGTGTCCGTCTGTCCCCTACCCATGAATTTGACTGGTTGGCAGAGGCAAAGAACCATGAAGAGGTAATTCTAGTTATTTAAAAAATGGTGCCCCTGCGGAAATCAGGATCTCACATCTGACTGGAAAAATGCTTCTCATTTTAACAAGAGTCATGCAACTCTATTTACAGTCTTATTACAGATAAAGCCTTCTTACCTAGATAATGTTGGAAAGAATATACTTCTGACTAGGCATGTACAGTAGCTTCTTAATAGAATTTGTGCCCCCTTGATCAAATGGAACTTTAAATAGTAACTTTCCACCAAACTGAACAGCAGTGTTTCACATTGAATTATACCAAGCATGATGGGGCGCCTTATGGCACCTGATAATGTCTTTGCCTTTTCAACAGTGCAAAACAACTGTGGAGGATCTCCAGCACAAGTTGACAAAGCTAAGGATTGTGACTGAGGGTCTGGAGCATGTGCATCAGGGCACCACCATTGGCAGTTTGGCAGGAGGTGTGATTGGAGCGATGGGGGGATTACATCTGTAGTAGTTCTTGTACTGGCCCCATTCACTTTTGGAACCTCTCTTATTGTAACTGGAGTTGGTGTGGGTGTGAGTACACTTGGTGGTGTCACTGCTGGTGCCTCGAATATCACAAAAATGGTGAACCAGTCCTCTGATCGCAAAGCTGTTCGAAGCAGCATTAAAGAGTTTAAAGAGAAAATTAATGCAGTAGTCACCTGGCTCCAGGAGATCTGCAACAGCTTACAGGCAATCAGAGACAGATTTCAGACAGCTGATGTACCTGACAATATGGATATCAGTTTCAGTGAAGAGCAACTGGCACGGCTTGGCTTCAGGGTAGGGAGGGGCCTAGGTGTGATTCCTGAACTGATTCGACTAGTTCAAGTAGTTAACATTGGCAAGATCGCAGCACAGGCAAGCAGAGTGGTACGTGTGTCAGAGGCAGTCACAGGTGTGCTTTCAGGTTTATTTGTAGCAGTAGACCTCTTCTTCATTGCCATGGATGCTAAAGAGATACACCACATTAGACAGGCAAAGGCAGCAGAGGAGAGAACTACTTCTCAGCCAGGGTCTGAGACTGAAACTGAAGATTCTGTGTCCACCTTTGACAAGGCTGTACTAGTGGTCAAAGAGTCTGGCAGTGATGAAGCAGATGCATCAGAGGAACAGAACCAGCCTTCCTCAGAAACCACTCAAACCAAATCTGAGCTCATGAAATTTGTCAAGTCAGTCAGGGAGGCAGCAGACAACTTGCAGGGAGTCCTGGATGAGCTCGGAAGCATCATCTCATCTATCACTTCATTTGGGGATGAGAGTCAGTTAGAATAACAAGTCACCATGCAGTGCATAATTCATTTCACATTATTCTGTTGTGCAAGTGCAGTAATACAAAAAAATGAATGTTTTTTTTTTTATATGCCGTGCAACAGCATTTTAAAAACATCGTCTGATTTCAGATCTTGATAATAAAGTGGGAATATTTTGGATTTCCAAGTAAAAATATTTCATTAATGAAATCAATTAAACATACGTACAATAAGTGTATTCAGTGCCAGTAGCAATGGATAATATAATAAAATACAAGTGACAAATTTGCAATTAAGTTAATTCACATCTATCACCAGGCTCGATAACCTTAAACTAACTTTCCTGACTACTAACAAAGGATGAAAGAAAATGTTGAATGCTTATTGCGGGAGTAAACAGTGTATTGCTGTTTGTATTGCTAGTAATCTGAAAACGCAGTTTTTTTTATTTGTATTTTTTCATTATTTTCTACATTAATGAAATATAATGTGAAAGTCCCTATATGTAGGATTTGAAAATGTATCCCTCAGCAAAATCTGTACTGGTGGTACTGACACAATTCAATTAACATGGCTACATCCAAAGAATTAACCTTAGCTGATAAATCAAAAACAATCATGAGCTTTTATGTCTTTATTTAACACACCCATTAAACCTACAAACTGATGGTAGAAAAAGTAATGGCAGCAGTTTTAATAACTGGTTGAACCACGTTTGGCAGCAGTAATGTTAGAATAGGATTTCAGGAGTTGCA